TTTTTTTATTTTTAATGGTTTTTCCTTATGTTAAATAATTTTATGAATGATAATTTTATTTTTTAGTAAATTAATATTTACACATTATAAAATTTAAATCGTAAAAGAAAATCATTAATAATTTGTTTTTACTAAAAGTAAAAGATATTAAATAAAAAATAAAATAAAATAACCTCTGTAATTCAAGACTTCAAAAAAAATAAAAAAACCTAAACTTATACAATATTCTTTTATGTTTTCTTTTTTTTTTTTTTAAACGTGGCCAAATCCAAAATCGACTTTGCCTCCTTGTGGCACTTGACGTAAGCTTTCAGCACTGACCTAACCACTTGACATCCATTTTCATACATATGAACTATCCAAGGCCATATATAATAACAAATTAAAAACAACTAACTGAGATTTGACATTTGAGACTACTAATTTTCTCGATTAGCGATATAATTTGCTAAATGGTACAGGGAAGCAGCCTTTGCAGCATCAAAACTGGCAAGTTCTCCCTAACCTGAACCACACCAATTCACCAGCAAACTTCTTGGCCTTGCCAATACCCATAAGCTTCGGAAACATGGCCCCTTCCACCAAGTCCTCCCCGGCCTTTTTCATCGGTCTTTGCTCAAAGCTGCCATAAGGCACACCAGCATGCAACTGAAAACTATTCTTTAGTGTCATAATCGTTTTTATTACACAGTATACTTTTTGTCTCATAGTGGGAACATGATCATTTTATAAATAAAAAAAACGTCTATTAAGCTACCATCTCAAAACTCATTTTAGCATATCAAATGCTAGTTCTAGTGTAATATGCTCATGTCATCATATATAATATGTTTGCAACCACATAATAATCCATATATATATATACATATATATAACACACGGGGTATTTTTGCTGATACTATTTGCCTTTAAGGCGTCATATACCTTTAGGCTACGTAACGATGAACGTGTCAGAGGAAGGATAACTACCACTGCAAGGTACTTTGAATTTGAAGTCCCAATCTAGTTGGCCCTATTTCACCACCTTTCCTTGTCACTGTCATCTTGACTGGGAACCTGAGGGCAAGATGTGTAACATGTGTTCACCATACAACGTTGCTTTTTATTTTCCCGTGCACGACTGAGAACCATGACTTGCATGACAACTAGGAGATAGCCAAAAAGATTGACTAGTTAGTTAAGAATTAGATCCAAAACATCATTCGGTAGCAGTGCCCCACCCAAGTTCAACAAAGAATTCATGTTATAACCTGCCATTTATGACCGCAGGAAATAAAAACGATCATATGAACAGATAATGTCACAATCAGTTGTTTCATTTACTTATAGAAGTTTGAAAGTGTTGCATTAAACGCAACATATTCATGATCTGTGAAAGAAAATATTGTTTGAATGTCTAATTTGAAAATTAATTTTTCAACTAAAAAAGTTTGGTCAAACACAATTTTTTAAAAGTTATTTTTTACTTTTTAGATACTTTTAACTTATAAAGATTTACTATTACTTTTAGATTTTGGTAAATTTTATTAATTTTTAAAAATAACCATAATTGTTTTATATAAATTCATCATTATGTAAAGAATGCTGAATTATAGCTATACCCTTCCCTTGACAAACAAGCCTTTATCACAAAAAGATATAGAATTATGGGACTTATTGCTTGATTCTGTTCAGAATTGAGATTCGACATATATCACCAGTAGTATTCACAACAATTTTATAAGTAATATTAACCAAAAAGAAACGGAAAAAAAAAAAAAAATTCCTGTGTCTCCATATGTTCTTACGATTGACGGCTAGCTTAAGATTCTTTTTAATTATGGGTAATTAAAACTTGTTTATGAACCAATGTATAGAACTTAGTACAACCTTGGATCAAAATTAGCAAATTTAATTTCAAAATAAGTACAAGTTTGCATCAGAGTACTAACCTGAAGAGTTGAAAGATTCACCAGTGGAAGTTGCCGGAACTGTAGCTTCTTGACGAAGGACTCAGATCGCAGGGCGTCCCAATGAACCGGCCATCGAAATCGTCATCGTCGAATCGCGGAGCCGTCATTAAGGAATTAAACTGTTTTGTGATAGTGACGACAAGGGTTGAAGGAGTGAACTTAATAAATAGAAAGCGCATGGGGTAAAAGGCTAATATCAGTACAGTCCCTGCTTGCAGTTCAGGAAGGATGAAGATTGGAGATGAGTTACCTTACTTATCAAGTTGTCTAGCTGTAAAATATGAAGAAATCTTGCTTACCAAGTTTATTTTGTACATTTTAATTTTACCACAAAAAAAAAAAATAGTGTAAGTTTCATTTTATAGATCAAGATTTAAAGTTTGACATTTATATCTAAAAAAATTAATTTTTTTGAATGCATTGGTAAGATATAGAGCTCATTTAAGAATGGATTAATCTTGAGTTGCACAAAAATTCATTTAACTATGAAGAGTTATGTTTTATAGTCTAACATTAGATGAGAGAAAGAGCCTCTAATATTAAAAAAATTATTCCTATTTAATGGTTAAATTTGTGCCATTCATGCTATATAATACTTTTTAAAATTGTAAATATCCAAAAAAAATTACTATTATATACACCATGTCCAAAGTAATTTTGCAAACAATAGTTCATCAGTTTCCCCCTAAATAGTAGCATATGATTGAGGATTTAGTTCGCAATCCGACCTTCTTCTCGTTATGTATACCCATAAAATGACTATCTATAATATCAAACATAATCGCCCATTGGGTTGCTTCACTTGAATAATTTTTCTTGATGAACAAAAATATAATTTCTCTTTAGTTGGGTGCTTCTGACCTGCCTTAGCTGTTTTGCCTAATTTCTTATGTACTGCTACCCTGTTACATGATGATAAATATTGCTTCATTAACCATTGATTTGTCATCATTTTAGTTTAGAAGTTCTCCCAAACTAGTCTAAAAGGACTAAAGTGATAAGATTCTATTGATACTAGGGATTCGGCTACATCTCTGATAAGTTATTGTCCGTTTTAACAAATAAACATTGAGTATGATTAATCATTAAAAGAATTCTCATGAGAAAAGAGAAATTATATGAGAAAAGAGGTAAGTTATTGTTTGCTTATAAAAGTATAATTATCTTTGATTTATTTCCATTAATATGATATTCTAATCTCACTTCATTATATTTAATAATTAAAAGACAACATTATAAATTTATCATAAAATGATCAATTGTGGAAAAGATTTGTCCCATTGATCCACAAACTCCTATGATACGTAACAATACAAACTCAAAAATTGCAATAACATTTTGTATTTGGTATGGGGGCAGGTTTTCCTCTAGAAGGCAATTTAATATTTACGCATCTTAGCAAATTATAATAAAATTAATAATTTTATGTCATTTAGAAAAGTTAGTTCTCATTTAAATATATGTTTTGAGTCATATGTGTAATAATTTGACTCTAAAAAAATGTTTCAATCAGTTAATACATTTGATATTTAAAATTTAAAATTTGAGATGATTAGAATAAGTTAAAGAAAAAAAAAATCATTATTCCCACTGCATGATTCAACACATGACGTACAAAAGAGAAAAAAAGAATGGTATTAGCCCAACCAAACCTTGGTAAATACCTATTTTAGTCATTTATTTTAATAAATTTATAGGTTTTAGTCCCTCACGTTATATTATGATATTTTTAATCTTTTATCTATATAAATTGAAGAAAATAACATTTATTTAATGTCTTATTAATTGACTGTTAATTTTGTTAGCTGATTATTAACATTCATTCCGTTATAGAAAATATGAAATTTAAATTTAATATTATTTATTAGTTCTGTTAACAAAATATTAATAATTAGTTAATAGAATTGACAATCAGTTAATAGAACTAATAGTCAACTAATAGAATTAACAAAACATTATAATTTGACGTTAAATAAGAGTTATTTCTTCAATTTGTATAGGTGAAGAGTTAAAAATGTCATAGTATAAGATAATGGGCTAAAATTTAAATTTATTAAAGTAAAGGGCTAAATTAGGTTTTTGC